CCCCCCCCTTCCCATCCCTCTCATGTCCAGCCCAGCCCATCTGCTGCATTGTATGCCCAAGTTAGGAGACGGTTTACTGGGCTTGCATGGCGTTTCCCTGCATGGAAACAGCTTTGAAAGAACCCTAGAGTAAACAGTGTACAGTCATTTTCTCTTTCATTCCCTCAGTTTTTCTGAATCACTGTTACTTTACCACTAATAATCATATACACAGACTTATTGTATACTGCTCATACTCATTTAATCCACTAAATAAAGGATGAGGGTAAAAAAAAGTTTTGAATGAAAAAAAAAGACTTTAGAAATACAGTTCTTACATTGTTCCTACACAGACGTCTTGCCTCAAGTAATTGTTATTATTAATATAATCATAGTTGTTAGGTTTCTACAGTTTGAAGCTTTAAAATGAATATTTACAACAGATTTCACAACTCGTCGACTCTAGTAAATGATAAAACCAGGATGACTGCCTTCCACGGCTTTTACACAAGTTTTTTTGTACCTTTTTATTTGTGTTATCTGCTACATACATAATGGCAATTGTAATTGTTGTCAGCATTTACCACCCACCAATGCACAGCAGTAAATTGACTACACAGGTCTGTCACCTTTTGAAGTAAAACTGATTTCTAGTTCACTGAGCTGAAAGACCAGTGGGAACATGCGATGGCGATGGGTCCATTTGTCCCTCCACAGTTCACTCCTCCTACTGTTTCGTTACAAGTTATTCAAAATTATACAATAGTCACCTAATGATTCTTCACCCAAATTTTACTAAAGAGAAAAATCATACTTTTGATTTTATGGACACATTTTCACACAAATTTCCACTCTTGGTCTGGATGCATAGGTTTGTTTATGACATAATAATGTCTTATGCTTGGTTAAGGTCAGTAAAAAAAACTAGGAGTGTATGGTAGGTGCAGCAGCCGTTTCGAATAGGCAACAATAACATGGTTCTCCAACACGATCAGTATAACTATAACGCTCCTGTATTCACTATTCCTATTATGCTAGCAGATTCTCTTCTTGTATAATAATAATCTTTGTAATGTAACAATCTAGTAAAACAAAAGTAGAAGCCTTAAAAAAACCAAAAAGTCCCTATTTTGTAACAGAAATATTAATTTTGTTCTCCCATTGTGCTACCCTCTATAAACCCCTCACCCCAACTTATACGTACACAAACCAGCGCCCGCATGCACGCACACACACACACACACACACACACACACACTGATCTACGTTATTACATTTTGATTTGGAGCTTGTGTGTTTACCGTGGGCGCAAGTAAACAGGAAAGAGACTGAATATGTTACATAACCTGATGTCTTTCTTAGGAGAAAAATTACCAAATCAAATACGCTTGTGTAGACTAGCCAAAAGTAAAAAGAAGCAAAAGAAAAAAGTCCAGTCTCAGCTTTCAGCACCCCTGTTAGTGCTTACAGAGAGGAACTGAAAACTAAACGTACCCTTTAATTAAATGTCATTTTTGGCTTTGTTCCAGAGTGCGGGAAGGAGATGGACCTTGTGATCGTGCTGGATGGATCTAACAGTATCTACCCCTGGTCGAGTATTCAGGAATTTCTCTATAAGTTCATTGGGAGACTTGAGATCGGACCTAAACAGACACAAGTCAGTTGCACTATTTAAAGAACAAACTAAAAAAGCCAATTTTCTTTGCATATACAGTACTTTTAAAAAGCTTTTACCCACTCCATCCATCATTTAAAAAAATAAAGAAATGAAGAGTGGCTATAGACGTTTGCAGAGTGGTTTATGGGTGCGTTCAGTGCAGGCTGTACAGCCATACATAAATGAATAAATGGAATAGTTATGTAACATCAATCAGATATAGAAAAGGAATGAATGGAGGATTATATTAGTTAGTAATTATGTTTAATGACTTTACTGTGCTCCATTATGGAATTTTTCCACACGTGTAAGATGCCCTTTATAAAGCAAAGTTCATAAACTGAGCACTTTACAGCCTTTAAAGTAAATTCAGCCTCTCTCACTAAGTTTGAACCTGAGTGTATTTCTGTCCACTTGAATTGGATCGCTCTGTGAATGGGTTTTTCTTATGGTTACATTGATCTGGCTCACAGCTTGTGGACTTTTCCACAGGGAAGCACTGGAAAGTCTTCCTACTGTGGAGTCTAGTGGTTGGAAGTCAAATCTTCCATGGCTGCTGAAGTCCTCTGCAGTCTGTATAAAGAACATTGTGTCATATCAAGCTCACCAGACCTCAGCCACATCCTCTGCAGACTGTCTGGGGGGAGAAGCTGAGGAGAGAAGAACATAGAGAGAAATTTAATGTAGGAGAAAGTTTACATGTTAAATGTGTGAATGTATGCGTGTTTTCTAGGTGGGCATTGTGTCTTATGGCGAGACCGTGAGTCATCAGGTCAATCTGAGCCAGTTTGACAACATGCCTGCTTTGCGGGATTTTGTCCAAGACCTTCCTCAGCACACTGGCACCAAGACGATGACTTTCCTGGGCATTGATACTGCCAGGTACCTAACATTAGCTGTCTTATTTGGGCAACGGTTGACCACAACTAATAATTGAGTCTTTCTGGTTTGGCAAGGTTTAATGGATATTTGAATAGGAAACTGTCATTTCAAGTCTGCTTGACAATTGTCAATGGCAGATTGTTAGAAGAAAAATAGCACAAGCCTTCCAGTTGGCCTTGCAGATAAATTTTCAGACATGATGGATTTCAAATCTTATGAGGAAATTAAAAAATAGTGTTGCAATTGATGTGTCGTCAGAAAAAAAAAAACTAGCATAAGTCAGGATTGTCTGAGTAACTTTGAAGTTGATTGCATTTCAGAGAGGAAGCCTTCATGCCAGAGCGTGGTGCACGACCTGGAGTTAAGAAAGTCATGGTGATTGTGACTGATGGAGAATCACACGACTACTATAATCTACAAAAGGTCATCAAAGCTTGTGAGGATGATGACATTGAGAGATTTGGCATCGCTGTGAGTACAAAATATTTTGTGATGTTTCAGTTCTTGGTCAGAATAGTTTATCCGTTAATGTTAAGTACTTTCTCGTTTACAGGTTTTGGGGGACTACGGTCGCCAGAACAAATCTCTATCAGAGGTGCAAAAGTTTATCAAAGAGATCCAGAATATCTCCAGTGAACCTGTCCAAGACCACTTCTTCAATGTGTCTGATGAGGCTGCTTTAGTGAACATTGTGGATACACTGGGAAGCAGGATTTTGGCCTTGGAAGGTAAACGCATAGACACACAATATGCATGCTCTCGAAGCCACATTAGCAGTTTCACTTTTGTCAAAGAGATGGATGTTGAAATAGTTCGACAAAGACCGACAAAAGCAGGAAGGAGCTAGCCTTGCCCCCCTAAATAGATCCAATAAGGTATGAATAAAAATTACATGCTGAACACATTTAACAATTAAGACATTTTAACGACAATTAACGACTTCTGATTGATGAGTGGTTAGCATTTCACAGTCAGATCCACCCCTCACTGGTCAAATTCATTTTAGAAATAATTAAATGGCACACATGGAAATGGTATTAATGCCCATCGTTTTTATTATCTTCCTCTTCATGTTAAGCTAACATAAGATATTACTTCAGTTCTGTCACAGACAAATATTTCCCTAAATTTCAAACGATACCCATATTTAAGTTTCAGACCCATATTCTTTATATGTTTCTAAGTAAAAACAGATTTGACAACATGTGATTATCTGCGGTTTATGTACATGTAGCTAAACTGGAATTTCCTCTTCTTCAGCTACAAGTGGAAATTCCACTTCCCCCATTCAGATGGAGATGTCCCAAACTGGGTTTAGTGCTCACACCTCAAACGTAAGTTTCAGTCCAACCGTTTATGTGTGATTAATACGCATACACCAAACTGCTACCAAATAGATTGTTTACAGAGTAATAGTTGGGTCCTGCTAAATCCCTTATTGCAACCAGACCGCACCAAATGGCTGAAGGATGAATCATATTTTGAGATCACAGCAGTGATAAGTTGCTCTATCTGTGGATTCAAAGTGAACCGTTTGCACGGACATGGATTCATCAGCAAGGAAGTTAACTGCTGAACTCATCCCGACACAATACCGCATTGTTATCTCTGGTCCATCTACAGCTGTTTGGTGATTCAGCTCTGTGGGTTAATTTTGGGAAACTTGAGACTTGCTCACTGTGATATCCTGGCGCTATCGTGTCTGACTGAAAGCAAACGAAAGATGTACACAGCAGAAAAGTCTGTAAGGGATGTTGAGTCAGAAGGCTGATTTGATAAATTCAGTATCTATTTCCTGCATATAATAAAAAAACGCCCCTTTTTTTATGTTCCTCCTCCTGCTCTTATCTCCTCTGACTCTCTCTTACTCTGCATTGGCTCCTAAGCTGAGTCATACTACTGAATCCTAAACATGTGACGCCACACTTTAGCAGTCATTAGTGGGAAAGAGCCACTCGACGCACTTTGTTGTGGCTAATGAAAGATGTCATGTCCTGTTGCGACCCCTCCCATTCCTATTACTTAACTGTGCTTCCTCTGGACAAAAAAGAGCGATAGATATATTCACTTGAAATAATATACCGTATATGCTTGTTATTTTATTATGGGATCAATAGCTGTACTTTTAAGTTGCACTTAATGTGCACTTAAAGGCCACAGTCGTATGCCAAAGTCAGTGCTCTTTCTTACATTTAAAAATAAAGTAATCTGGATTTGTGCCATAGTATCATTTTTTATTTTATTTTTTCATTTTTTTATTATTACTTTTGCATAATATTGTTACCAAACAAATTCCAAATAACTATAATAACAGAAAGTTGTGAAAAGCACCCATCAGCGGTGCAACTTTGATTGTTTGGGATCCTGAAGGTCTCTGATGAAGAGCATTCACACAAGAGCAGAACTTAAATACAACTTTGTGATGCTTGTACTCTGCTGCTGCTTACCCCCACTACATTTGAGGGG